TTTTTGGTATCCACCAAATTTTTGTTTCATTGAGTCTCATTGAGTCCGAAACTATCTTGGCTGTGCGACGATCCAAGATTTGTTCAAAGACGGTATGATTAATTGCTTGGAATAGTTAATGCTTTACTTGGTGATCTTTGTGTCTAGCATCATCAAGGTGGCCCTTTTGTGCCTCAGTCAGTATTGTTCTTTCCCTCTCGTTTTAATAAATAAATCTCCACCACACTCCATAGAAAATTTTCTTTGAGCAAATTTTCCATAAGCTCACTCCAATCATCATAGTGACCATCGAAGTGAGGGATCTTCGCTAAAGTTTTGTTTCACTCATACTCTCTCTAGTTGATCACTAAAAAATTGATGCTCTAATACTAATTGTTAGGTTTTTACCGAAGAATAACTAAGCCAGAAACATCTTCGCTAAAGTTTTGTCTTCACTCATACTCTCTCTATTTAATCACTCAAAAATTGATGCTATGATAGTAATTGTTAGGTTTTGACAGAAGAATAACAAAGCCAGAAACATAATCAATTCAAGTTTGAAATGATTGGATTTATTGAATGAGGAACTTGGGTTTGATATACAAGTAACCATAAATAGAAATGACTTAAACCAATGTTCTTCAAATACTTCAACTAAATCCCTAACAATACTCTAACTAAATAAAGAAAAGATCTCTATTTAACTATTTTGACTAGAGTGTAGTCAATTAAGTAAAAATGAAACTTCCCCTTGATATCACCTCCTCTGCCCCTTGATATCACCTCCTCTGCTAATATGGTGCTGCTAGAAGACCCTAGATTAGATTCAGCAACATTGTGGCTATTTCAAATTAAATAAATGTGCTATTTCAAATGAAATAAATGTAAACTTGTGTGTTTTCTTGAGAAACAAACACAAACTAGAACTAAACTTGAATCTTCTCGAGGAGCCTAGGTTTGTTATTTGGATGTTTCTTATTTAGTTTGTTTGTATTTGATCCATTAATAATTTAGTTTAAATTTTAATATTTATTTAGTTAATAAATTTTAAAATTCGTAATAATTTAATTTATATCATAAATATTATAATTAAAATTATTAAAAATAAAATGTATTTATAAATTAAAAAGATGAAATTTTTACATGTTAAAATTTGACAATCAATTTAAAATTTTCTTCATATAAATTTTAAAGTTAACGGTTATTTTAATAAAAAAATTAACCAAAAATATTTTAGACATTTTTTTTTTGGTATCTATAATATTTAATAAAAAAAAACTAATCTATGTACATATATATATATATTTCTGAAATCAATTGTCAAAGATTTTCTCTCACAACAGCTGTTCAAAAGATTTAGTTTGAATAAAAAATGAGAATGGCTTTGGGTAAAAAATGGTAGAGAAAAGGTAAATGTTAGATTTAGTTTGAATAAAAAATGAGAATGACTTTGGGTAAAAAATGGCAAGAAAAGGTAAATGTTAGATTTAGTTTGAATAAAAAATGAGAATGACTTTGGGCAGATTTACCTTAAGATGTGACCGTATGAATGTCAGTGGTAGGTTAGTTAAATCTTTTCTTTATTTTATTTCTGATTTTTATTTAGATTTTAGTTAGAAATCAAATAACAATAAAAATTTATGGGTTACGGTAAATTGATTACTAAAATATAGCAATGTTATTTTTAGGAAAGAAAAGAAAATTAGAATCTATTGAAAATGACAATGAAAATACACATCACAAAGAAAAAAAAGGAAAAGTTTAGAATATATACTTGAAAGATTTCAAGAATATATCCAAACAAAAATTAAACCATAAAGTAAGTACATGCCACAAAAAGAAATGAAAGATTAGAGTGAGAAGGCAAAGAAGTACACAATACTGAGTACATGTAGACAAAAAAAAAAAATGAAAGATCAATGAGAAGGAAATGAGAAGTACACAATACTGAGTCATAATAACTCCATCAAATTCTTCCCTAACATAGTAATGATAGGAAATGAGATCTTAATGAAAATAGAATTATATATCTATATCTATATATATATATATGTATATATATATATATCTATATATATATATATGTATATATATATATATATGTATGTATATATATATGTATGTATATATATATATGTATGTATATATATATATATATATATATATATATATATATATATATATATATAACGCTCCAGGACTTTACTCATGTAAAGTCTTTAATGCTCGTCTGAGGTCTAGTACATCGGCCATTGTGAGATTTAGAGAATTGAACGTGAAATTGATGTCATGAATTCATATAGGTTGACTTGGATACAATGGACAAAATCGAACTTTCATTAATGATAAATTGGTGACACCAGCCTAAACTAACTAATCACGTAAGTGGTCTTACTATAGGAGAGGCGAAAAATTGTATGAGTTATGATGATGTATGAGTTGTATCGTATGATGTCCTATACTAGTATATGATGATGTATGAGCCATGATGATGCATGAGTTATGATGATGTATGAGCGGTGTCGTATGATGGAAAAGGGTTATGAAGAGCCAAATGAAGGCGAGGTACTCTCAGCTGGTCGACAGCAACTGTTGGCAGCATCGAATTGAAGAACCTGAAGATCAAGAACTATTTATTTCAGTCCATTGATAGGACTATCTTGGAAACAATGCTTCAGAAGAAGACATCCAAGGAAATTTGGGACTCTATGAGGAGGAAGTATCAAGGCTCAACGAGAGTAAAACGTGCTCAACTACAGGCAGTTAGGAGAGGCTTTGAAATTCTCCAAATGCAAAAGGGAGAAACGGTGAATGATTATATTGGCAAGGTTATAAGTCTTGGAAGTAAAATGAGGATGCATGGTTGTTCAATCACAGATGTTGCGGTCGTAGAAAAGATTTTGCGATCACTAACACCAAAGTTCGATTACATTGTATGTTCTATCAAAGAAGCAAACAATGTCGAGGAAATGAAAATAGATGAACTCCAAAGCTCCCTATTAGTACATGAGCAGAGGCTCAATCGTACAAGTGCAATAGAGGAGATTACAGCCTTAAAGATATCAACACCAAGTGAAACTTCAAGCTCTAGAGGTAGAGGGAAAAGAAGAGGCAGAGGTCGTGAGAGAGGCAGTCGAGAAAGAAGTGGAGATGTTGGCAGGTCAGCAGACCTAGTCAGAAACGATTATGACAACAAAGGCAAGAGGCACTTTGACAAGTCTAAGGTGGAATGTTACAGATGTGAACGCCTTGGACATTACAAAAATGAATGCTATACCAGGCTCCAAAAGGAGAAAAGAAATCAATCCAATTTTGTGGAGAGAAGAGAAGAAGAAACATTATTAATGTCATTCCATGCTATGAAGGTGACAGATCAAGGTGTGTGGGTCGTAGACTCTAGATGCAACAATCATATGATAGGTTGTAAGGAATTCTTCTCAACTTTAGATGAAAATTTTCATACTACAGTCTCTCTTGGCAACAATTCAACTCTCCAAGTGATGGGGAAAGGAACCGTAGATATCAAGACTAGAAATGGCTTTGTAGAGTCTGTTTCTAATGTATTCTACATTCCTGATCTGAAGGCCAACTTACTTAGTATCGGTCAGTTACAAGAAAAGGGGTATGTGATCACATTCCAAAATGATGAATGTGAAATTTATGACTCAAAAAGAGGATCGATTGCTAAGATGAAGATGACCACCAACCGTCTATATCCGTTGACTTTAAATATCATTGTCAAAAGTTTGATGGTGAAGAAAGAAGATACCACTTGGCTTTGGCATTTTAGGTATGGTCATCTACACTTCAAAGGATTAAAGACGTCGTCCTCAAAGAAGATGGTAACTGGGTTGCCAGATATTACTCCACCAACGGAAATTTGCAAGAGCTGTGTAGTAGCAAAACATGAAAGAAACTCTTTTCCATCCGAAAAATCAAGAAGAGCTCAAGCAATTTTGGAGTTGATTCATTCAGACATATGTGGTCCCATCTCTCCTGCATCAAATGGTAACAAGAAATATTTCATGACCCTCATCGATGATTTTAGTCGAAAAACATGGACTTATTTCTTGCACGCCAAATCAGAAGCCTTTGATTGCTTCAAAAAATTTTGTGCTACTATGAAAACGAAAACTGGAAGAAGAGTCAAGGTTTTAAGAACTGACAGAGGTGGAGAATTCTGCTCGAAAGAGTTTATTCAATTTTGTGAAGAGAAGGGCATGCGAAGGCAATTAACAACAGCATATACACCACAACAAAATGGTGTGGCCGAAAGGAAAAACAGGATCATTCTGAACATGGTTCGAAGTTTACTAAATAAAGGAGAAGTCCCGAAGGAATTCTGGTCAGAAGCTGTTGTGTTGTCCGTTCACATTCTCAATCGCAGCCCTACCTTTTCTGTTAGAGATATGACTCCACAAGAAGAATGGAGCGGAAGAAAACCTGCAGTAGACCACTTTAGAATCTTTGGGTGCATAGCATATGCACATGTTCCTGATGAGAAAAGGAAGAAACTTGAGAACAAGAGTTCGAAGTGTGTGTTCCTTGGAGTAAGCGAGACCTCTAAGGCATACAAGCTCTACGATCCTTTGACAAAGAAGGTGGTGGTAAGTCGTGATGTAGTCTTTGACGAAAAGAAGACTTGGACATGGAAAGAAAAAATCACTGTGAATCAGCAGATTCCTGTAAATCTTGAAGAAGAACAAACTGAAGCCCCTATTCAGCCTCACTATGAGCATGGAGAGAGCTCATCACAAGCTCAACAAGAAGAACCAGTAGAAGAAGATCATGATCAAAATCAAAGACATCCAAGAACAAGAAAAAGACCAAACTAGATGATTGATTATGAGATGGATTATGAATCAAGTGATAGTGGTTATTTTGCATTCTTTATGGATAGTGATCCAATTGTCTATGAAGAAGCAGTAAAAGAGAAGAAATGGAAGGAAGCTATGGACAGTGAAATCCAATCCATAGAGAAGAACAAGACTTGAGAGCTCACTAATCTTCCTAGAGGGCAGAAAACAATCGGAGTAAAATGGGTTTTCAAAACCAAGTTGAATGAAAACAGTGAGGTGGATAAGTACAAGGCGCGACTTGTTGCAAAAGGATACAAGCAAAAGTATGGAATTGATTATAAGGAGGTATTTGCACCAGTGAAATGACAGATCTTGGCTTGATGAGATATTTTCTTGGAGTAGAAGTTACTCAAACTTCCGCAGGTAACTTTATCTGTCAGAAGAAGTATGCTCAAGAATTACTTGAAAGATTTAAATTGGATGAGCGCACATTTGGAACTCCATCAAAATTGGGTTTAAAGTTGCACAAGGACATTGACGGGCGAGAGGTTGATAATAGGTACTTCAAACAAATTGTGGGAAGTTTGATGTACCTAACTTCAACAAGACCAGACATCATGTATGCGATTAGTATGATAAGTCATTACATGGAGCATCCAACGGAAAAACATCAAAATGCAGCAAGAAGGATACTTCGTTATGTGAAAGGAACCTCTGATTTAGGGGTATTCTACAAGAAAGGAGATGATCCGAAGATGGTTGGCTATACAGATAGCGACTATGCAGGTGATATAGACAATCGTAAAAGTACTTCAGGAAGTATTTTCATGATGAGTTCAGGAGCTATTTGCTGGTCTTCAAAGAAGCAACCTATTGTAACACTCTCAACGATAGAAGCAGAATTTGTGGCAGCAGCAGCATGCTCGTGCCAAGCAATTTGGTTAAGAAAAATGCTTGAAATTCTTAATCAGAAGCAACCAAGTACGACGGTTATATATTGTGATAATATGTCAACTATTAAGTTGTCTAAAAATCCTGTGTTGCATGGAAGGAGCAAGCAAATCGATGTTCGATTTCATTTCTTGCGTGATCTGTGTAAAGAAGGCATTAATGAACTCAACTTTTGCCGAAGTGATGAACAAATCGCAGACCTATTCACAAAGCCCTTGAAACAACCATTGTTCGAGAAGCTCAGAAGAAAGATGGGGATATGCAGAATCCAAGATGTATATCAAGAAGATGAAGTGAAGTCCTAAACTGATTTCCGCAGAATTCAGTTTAAGGGAGGGTGTTGAAACTAATAATAGAAGTTTGAATTAGTTACTACGGAATAGAAGGAGGAGGTGAATTCAATTTCATCCACAAAAATCTCAACCAATTCCGGGAATCCCCCCTATAAAAGGACCCCCTCCCCATCATTCAAATCACTCCTCCTCTCAATCTCACTTCAGTTTTCTGTTGTCACCAACAAGGAAAGCATATCAAACTCCATTTTCAAAAATGAGTAAATGGAGAGCAAGTGAAAAATTGGGCCTTGTAAATGCAGATCTATGTGGTCGAATTTCACCAGCTTCAAATAGCCATAAAAAGTATTTGTTGTGCGATGATTTTTCAAGGAAGGCATGGAGTTATTTTCTTTTATAGAAAAATCAGAAACATTTTATCATTTCAAATGTTTCAACATAATTGTGGAAAAGAAAATTGGAATGCCTATAATGTTTAAGGATAGATAGAGGAGTAGAGTTCAATTCAGTAAAATTCAACGATTTTTGCAAATAGCATAGAGTGAAGACACAATTGACTACAACCTATGGCCCACAATTAAATAGAGTGGCAAAACGCCAAAATTGCACCGTGATGAACTTGGTAAGGTAAGAGTTATGCTGACAGAGAAGAAAGTGCCTAAAAATTTCTAGCCTCAAGCAGTTAGGCTGACATTTCTAGCCTGAAGCAGTCAGGTGGACGATTCACATTTTGAATTGATCACCCACTCTTGCAGTAAAAGAGATGACACTAGAAGAGGCTGGATTGGGGAGAAACCATCAGTCGATTATTTTAGAGTTTTTGAATGTGCGAAACATGTTCATATTCTAGATGCCAAGAGAAGCAAACTTGAAGATAAAAGTGTAAATATGTGTTTTACTTGGAGTCAGCAGCGAATCCAAAGGCTATAGAATGTTTGGTCCAACTACAAATAAAATTATAATAAGTTGTAATGTAGCTTTTGAGGAAGATCGTGAATGGGGTTGGAAATTTTTTTAAGGTGAAACAAAATTGGACTGGGGGACAATATTGAAATTGATGAGAATACAGTCGAAGAAGGGGAAGTCACGGTGGAAACAACTAAACTAGTTGCTGAAACAATTGAACCAGTTGTTGAAAACAAAGAAGGGGAAATCACGAAAGAAACGACTAAACTGGTTGATGATTTCAAATCCTGTGAATTTTGAGGAGCTTTCAAAAGCCCAAAATGGAGATTGGCTATGGATGAAGAAATCAAATCCATTGAAAAAAATCAAACATGGAACTTGGTGGTTCTGTCGGCTAGAGCAAAGAAAATAAGAGTGAAATGGATTTACAAGACCAAGCTAAATGAGTTTGGAGAAGTTGATAAATACAAAGCAAGATTGGTTGTAAAAAGCTACATACAAGAGCATGAAATTGATTTTACAGAAGTGTATGCATCTGTGGCCAGAATGGATACTGTGAGAATTGTCATTGCTTTTGCCACCAAGAAAAGTTGGAAACTCTATTAGTTAGATGTCAAATCAGCTTTTCTATATGGTGAGTTAAAAGAAGATATTTTTGTTGAACAACCAAAAGATTAGGAGAAAAAGGGAAGTGAGGAGAGGGCGAACAAATTCCATAAGGCTCTCGATGGATTAAAACAAGCACCTAGAACCTAGTTTAGTTGAATAGAATCCTTCTGCATCAAGGAAGGATTCAAAAGAAACTCCAGTGAGTAGACACTACATCACGAAGAAGGGAGGACAGAAAATTGGCAAAGATGAAAATGGTGCAAAAGTAGATGTAACTTTGTATAAACAAATAGTGGGAAGTCTGATGTATCTCACAGCTACTCATCCTAATCTCATGTTTGTTGTAAGTTTGATTAGTCGTGATATGAACCAAAAGACGTCAATCATAAAATATACTTCAATGAAGATGTGAAGAAAAGGTTGTCAAAATTATCAAAAGATGTTTCAATTCATGACACATTGAAGAAGAATTAAGTTTGATTGTTATAAATTTTGGGTAGGTTACAATTTAGAGTAATTTAGAGTTATTGTGATAACTTTTTATTTAGAGTAATTTAGGGTTACAATTACATAATGACTAATTATGATCATTAAGTATGAATGTTACTAACTCTTGTAATGTCTTTAATAGTTTCATTTTGAGGCTATATAAAGTCGTATGTTGTATTTGTAAGTAGACTTGGAAAATATAGTAAATGGAGCATTTGTGCTTTCTTTAGCCAATGACTAAGTTTCTTTGCAATTCTATGTAGTTTAGGTTGCATGTAGAATCATTCAAGCTCGATATGATCAATCTTGCTTGTGGAGTGATTCGAATCTCAAACAAGTGTTCTTGCGTTGAGATATTTGATCAACAAGAATCATTCAAGCTAGACATGATCGATCTTGCTTGTGGAGTGATTCGAATCTCAAACAATGTTCTTATCATGAGATATTTGATCAACAAGGTAATCCGAATCTTACTCCACGTGTAGTGATTTCCACATATTAGTGTCATGAATTGAAACATCTTTTGATAATTTTGACAACATTTTCTTCATATCTTCATTGAAGTATATTGTATGATTGACGTCTTTTGGTTCATATCAAGTCGTCTTATTGCATGTCCAACAAAACAACATGTTGCAGTAGCTAAAAGGGTTTTAAGGTACTTTAAAGGTACGATAGATTATGGTGTATTTTATAGATAGGGAAGAGTTAGTGATTTAATTGGATTTACTAATAGTGACTATGCCGGAGACTTGGAAGATATTAAGAGTACTTCAGGCTATGTGTTTATGATAAGCGGAGGAGCAGTAGCTTGGTCTTCTCGTAAACAGCCTTTTGTCACCTTATCAACCACAGAAGTTGAGTTTGTTGCTGCTAGTGCCTGTGCATGTCAAGCTGTTTGGATAAAGATACTCAAAGAGATGGGTCACTATCAAATTGAAGGAACAAAGCTAATGTGTGATAATACTTCAATTATTAAGATATCCAAAAATCCAGTTCTACATGGACATTCCAAACAGATAAGAGTAAGATTTCACTTTCTTAGAGATCTTTCAAAAGAAGGAACCGTTAATTTATTATTTTGTGGTACCCGAAATCAACTTGCTGATTTGTTAACAAAGCATCTCAAATTAGAAGTATTTTAGAAGTGGTGTGAAGAAGGTGTGCAGAGTTTTTCTAACTTGAAATAATTTTGACAAAGAATAATAAGTTCAAGGGAGGGATTGTTAGAATAATTTGATTATGTCAAATACACTTATGTTTCTAGAGTATTTTTAGCTATTTAGTTTAACTAATTTGTCATATTTGGGTTAGTTTCGATTTCTGTTGTTATTTGTAAAAGCTAAGTTTAGTACTCAAAAGCCAATTTCAGTACTCAATAATATTATCAGTCGAAACTCCAGTTGTTTATGTTTCGGCTTAATCATTCTTCTGTTACACCAAATCCTCATAATCACCCTAGATGTTTTGTAAATTCACTAACACAATTATCCTCATAATCACCCTAGATAAAGTTTTGTAAATTCACTAACACAATTATTCTTACTATATTAATCAATAACAGAGATTAGATTCATTATTTCATTCTTCTGTTATCGTACAAATCAACTTTATATGTATAGAAATAAGGACGAGAAGAATTAGTAGGTCACTTGGACGGAACAAGAGGATGAAGATGAATGAATCAGTAGTAATCTCATTTTTCTTTATTGTCGTCTAAGTCATCATAGGGAGTAAGCACGAATCACTTCTAGAATGGGCACACAACACATCAGATACTTTTCTCGAGCCTTGACCAACTCGTTAGCACATTTTGAACACGTGCACATGTGCCCACATCTAAAAGTTGTAAATGAGAGAAAATATAAAGTTAAGTGAAAGTTGGTACCTAAGAAAAACACACAAAAACAAACTGATTGGTAAAATTATCTGTACAACAAAGCATGTAAATTTTATAAGCTAAAGAATCTAGTGGCATTAATAATGAAGACAAACCTTTTGAACTAGCTCTCGGCTCAACGTAGAAGAAACTTCTTTCTTTATTGAACGCTGCAACTCTAGTTGCATATCCATGCATGTCTCCAACATTCTCTATAGGTTGCTCATCCTCTGTTGCAGCCTCGGCATGTCAATCCTCAAATCGTTGATGATCTCCCAATCTTGTAAGATTTAGCAACAAGTTTAAGTTAAAAAAAAAAAGATAATCACAATAATTTCACCAGAAAGAAAATTGCTTTAATTAGAAATATAATTATGGAATCACCATTCATCAATGGTTTACCGATTACATTTGCATGTTTTACTATTTATTTTATTTTATTTACTTTGCATCCTACTGGCTTCAACTAGAAAGACAACAATTGAACCTTGATGAGACATACAGCTCCAAATTGCTAACGAAAATCACGTCGTGGCCAACTCCCATTGCTCAACTCATGATCCCAAAGTTGTCGAGAGGGCAATGTAGGTGGCAGTGGAAAAACAATCGAATGTCTCTCAACAGAACCCGCTTGACCTTCACTCTGCCTATTGTGTTCATGTTCTTGTTCAGGTTTTGTAGATGTGTAAGGGGGTGTCACAACCTAACTATGAAGACAGTAGGTTGTGACCATCACATTGCGACAAGAGAAGCGGCGACCCTCAAGTGGTCCCCATCCCTCCACACGAGGGCCAAGACGAATGCCACGATGCGACCGAGGAGGACGGTACATCATCTAACACACCACACAGAGTGGGCATTGAAGACAAGTTTAGATATAAGCAAGATAGAGACATCGAATAGACAATAGTGGAAAATATGGGCTTGTTGAAGGGTCGGGTAGGGTCCCAAGCCTTAACCTCGAAAGTCAAGGCTCCAAAAGAAATTTGGACATGCGGTTCTGGAGTTAAACTCATGTATATGATGAAAAATTGAAAATGGCTCAAAATATACTATAGGGGTACCATCGTGGCCTAAGGTCCAATGACGCCACAAAGATGGGGTGAAAAATATATATGGGGCTTAATTCCCCTTAAGGCTAGTCGTGAGCGTGTCAAGATCACCACACAACTATGTTGAAAAAGTAGTACTGTGCCAGTTGGTATTAGAGCCATAGTTTATGTGTCTAGTGGGACAACATAGTCAAGAGAAATGAACTCGAGAGTTGATTGAAGACCTTGCAAGTGTGTCAAGAGTGCCAGAGTGGGCAAGACAGTTTCTGGTCAGAATTAGAATAAGTTGTGGGCCGAAACCAAGACTACCTGAAATTCATTAGTGTTGTGTGTCGACACTTCAGTGTGGGGAGATCTACCCATCAAGTAAAACCAAGCTCATTTGCCAAGCGCTTTTAGTCCCTAAGTGGGCAAGATAGATGAAACAGAAAGCAAACCATGTCGGTGCTTTCTAAAGAGCCATTCACATTAGAGGAATAGTGTCAGTGGTTGCAAGCAGAGAAGCCAAGAGCCAAGAAAAGACAAGCATCGGCCAAGTGCCAAAGTTGAGTACAACGCAAGTCCATATGGGAGGATGAATTTGCTGCAAAGAGGCAACCGAGTTTAAGTGGGGGAGAGCCCGAGTAATTAAGTATCTCACCCCGTAGAGGTGCTCTAAGGTGCGAGTATGTACTCCTTGAGCCATCACATTATGCCTAAAGTGGATGACTCCAGAAGAGTTGTCAAGACCAATATCAACTTGAGAAGTGAGCATCAACTGGAAGTGGACATAGAGAAGTGAAGCTACAACATGACCACAGAAGCGTCAAGACGGCATTGCCACACGAAGGTGGCCAATTAAGAGTTGGCGAAAGTGTAGCGCCAACACAGAGTTGTGTTACAAATTTTAAAAGAATTGACAAGAGTGTAAAGCAAACACAGAGTTGTGTTACGAGTTTTGCAGACATCCAGTTAAGAGTTGGCTGAAGTGAAGCGCCAATGCGGGGTTGTGTTACAAGCTTTCATACATTGCTACTATAATGGTTGGTGCCACGATGAATAAATATCGTGGTTGGCTTGCGAGCCTCACCTTAAGGGGTGCACCATTGTGTGCGACTCAGAGAATACAATGAGTGTGGCCAAAGTGGCAAAAATTTAGGGAGCTCTCCCCCTAGCCAAGGAAAGAGTATGCCAAAGCTAGTTAGTTTGCCATTGTTTTTTCGGTGAATCCTGGGTAAAGTTTACAGAAGGGCGAGGGAGGCCCAAGAGGGGATAGCCCACAACCATAGTGCATTTGTTTTACAGTACTTGTGTTGCAAGTCTCGGAGGCCGAGAGTAGGTTCGTTAGTGGGATAGCTCATAAGTAGTGCGCATTTTCTGTATTCGTTTTGAGGCACGTACTTCAAGTGGGTTCATCAGCAGCCAGTCTAGGGTTGGGTCGTCATTGGGGACAATGGCTAGTTTAAGTGGGGGAGAATGTCACAACCTAACTATGTAGAGAGTAGGTTGTGGCCCTCACGTTGCGACAAGAGAAGGGCCACACTCAAGTGGCGCCCATCCGACCACACGAGGGTCTAGACGAGTGCCATCATGCGACCGAGGAGGGCGGTGCATCATCTAATATACCACACAACGTAGCCATTGAAGACAAGTTGAGATATAAGCAAGATAGAGACATCGAATAAACAAGAGTGGCAAAGATAGGCTCGTTGAAGGGCCGGGTAGGGTACCAAGCCTTAACCTCAAAAGTTGGGATTCTGAAAGGAATTTGGGCATGCGATTTTGGATTTAAGTCTGTCCTTATAAAATATGAATGCTTGCCAAATTTGGTGTCAATCGGACACTGGACGGATGCAACATAACACTGTATGACCGTTTGACAAAATCATGTCTATGCCTCAAAGATTGAAAATGGCTCAAAATGTACTATGGGGGATACCATGGTGTTAGCTCTCTACCAGCCTTGGGCCCTTTGGCCTAAGTGAGCTAACCTATGACACACACATGTGCCACAACATTGGCAAGCGTGCCGAGACGAGTGTTTATGGCGACTTTCTTTAAAATGGGTTTTTCAAGGATAGTACCGGGCGACACGGGTGTATGGTGTCGGAGGCTACTACATACATCTGCTATCTTGTACGGTATACATAAATGACACGGCACGTACACGGTTGGGTCAATGCCTCGATAAAACCCGGATGGATAGATGTTTGGGACCTCCCAGTGAGATGAGCGACACGTAGGCTCGTTTTCAATGGCATGAGCGAGTGAGTTGTGATGGTTGACGACACCCCAAGACTCGGGATGGTATCAAGACATATGAGCCATGTCGATGGATATCAAGTGAAGAAGATTAGACGCGACGTTGCATTGAGAGACCTTGGCCCCAAGCAGAGGCAAGGTCGAGCCATATGGTATAGAGGCAAGTCGGTTGTGTTGTAGATGATTGAACATGCACATGCAGGTGGCTTGTGTGGTTGAACAAGCTTGGATTCCGCACAAGGGATGTTTGGTTGACGAAGACAAACCTCGCCAAAAGTCCGATGAAGCCACAATAAAAATATATATGAGGCTTAATTCCCCTTAAGGTTGGTCGTGAGCGTGTCAAGATCACGATGGCGCGCGGTTGAAAAAGTAGGAACAGAGGACATCATCTCGTCTATATCCTTGTTACTGATACCGTGACCTTGCCTCTCTATGTAAGCATGTATAAACGGGTCAAATGTAAAATTGACTATTTCAATTGAAAATAGAGCAAACTATCATACATAGAAACAAATGGAGAGTGATGTAATATGGATTAAATAGTCTTCTATGAACCGGTTCAACTTTATGACGGACAAAATCAAAATGTTATTTTATTTAATAGGAAAGAAATTGGATGGCATCGTGAAGAAAGTCTGTATGAGCTAATAATGTCAATGTATGACAAAGAATCATAAGAGAGAAACTAACTTTGATTTATCTTCCTATATGAATATGCTACCAAGGTAAGAAAATTAGATATGAAGAAGCAACCAATTGAAGGTAGTTTGAACCCTATCCTTACAATTTTTAAATAGAAATAATATTGAAAATGAAAATTTTGTATTTTCCCAAGAAACAAACAGAAACTAGAAGTGAAACTAACCTTAGGAGAAGTTGAACCTTTTCCTTTGGAATACGTTTGTATTTGGAATTTGATAGCACAAAAAAAGAACACCGTAGCATCATTACTTTTTGCTTCATGTCTTTCCATATGAGTCATTAACAACATTTCATCCTCTTCTTCCAGCTCTATATAATTCAATTCCTTATTCATCTTTAGACATTCATATTGAAAATGACCCAAGTCATGACACCTATAACATTCAACAGTTGTTTTGTTGAAAGTTGATCTTCCTCTTCCGCATCCTCTGCCCCGTAAGTTCCTCTTCCTCTGTTACTTACTTTCGTTTGTCCTTCGAATTTTAGCACTTGATCCTCTCCATTAATGCTGGATCTTCAAATTTTTTGTTCATGCACCACTAATGAACTTTGTAATTCATTAATGGACATGTTGTTAATATCTTTAGATTCCTCAATGGATACTACAACATAAGTAAATTTTTTAGTACACAAAATTTTTTCTACAGTTTTCTTTTCTGGCATATCTTCTCTATTGCTTCTCATCTTGTTGGAGATTATCATCACTCTTGCAAAATAATCTGTGATACTTTAATACATTTCCATCCCTAGAATCTCAAATTCTCTCCTTAATGTATTAAGAAGAGATTTCTTCACTTTTTGGTTTCCACCAAATTTTCGTTTCAATGAGTCCGAAACAATCTTGGCTGTGCGACGATCCAAGATTTGTTCAAAGACGGTATAATTAATTGCTTGGAATAGGTAATGCTTTACTTGGTGATCTTTGTGTCTAGCATCATCAAGGTGGCCCTTTTGTGCCTCGGTCAGTATTGTTCTTTCCTCTCGTTCTAATAAACAAATATCCACCACACTCCATACACAATTTGCTCTGAGCAAATTTTCCATAAGCTCACTCCAATCATCATAGTGACCATCAAAGTGAGGGATCTTCGCTAAAGTTTTGTCTTCACTCATACTCTCTCTATTTGATCATTCAAAAATGGATGCTCTGATACTAATTGTTAGGTTTTGACAAATGAATAAATAATCCAGAAACATCTTCGCTAAAGTTTTGTCTTCACTCATACTCTCTCTATTTGATCACTCAAAAATTGATGCACTGATACTAATTGTTAAGTTTTGACAGAAACATAATCAATTGAAGTTCGAAGGGATGGTTTTATTGAATAAGGGGAACTTGCCTTTAATATACAAGTAACCATAAAAAGAAATTACCTAAACAAATCTTGTAAAATACTTAAACTAAATCCATAAAAATACTGTCTAAATAAAGAAAAGATCAATATTTAACTATTTTCACAAGAGCTAAATCAATTACTTAAAAGAAGACTGAAACTTCACCTTGATATCACCTCCTCCTCGAATATGATGCTTTGCTTGAAGACGTAGATTAGAACCAGCAACATTGTGGCTATTTCAAATGAATTAAATGTAAACTTGTTTGTGTTTTCTTGATAAACAAACACAAACTAGAACTGAACCAGCAACACTGTGGCTATTTCAAATGAAATAAATGTAAACTTATGTGTTTTTTTAGAAACAATCACAAACTAGAACTGATGTTGAGACTTGAATCTTCTACAGGAGCCTAGGTTTGTTATTTGGATTTTTCTTATTTAGTTTATTTGTATTTGATCCATTAATAATTTAGTTTAAATTTTAATATTTATTTAGTTAATAAATTTTAAAATTGGCAATAATTTAATTTATATCATACAAATTATAATTAAAATTATTAAAAATAAAATGTATTTTTAAATTAAAAAGATGAAATTTTTTCATGTTAAAATTTGACATTTAGTTTAAATTTTTTTATTATAAATTTTAAAGTTGGCCGTTATTTTAATAAAAAAAAATTAACCAAAAATATTTTAAACATTTTTTTTTTGGTATCTATAATATTTAATAAAAAAAATAGTTTTTTTTAAAATCTATTTATATATATATATTTCTGAAATCAATTGTCAAAGATTTTCTCTCAAGCAATTAATTTAAATCTTTCCTATCTCTCCACTAACCTCTCATTCTTATCCCAATTATCTCTCCTAAATAAACTCTTATGTCAAAACAACAATTAAACAAACTAAACAACAAAAAATGGCTTTGGGCAGATTTACCTAAAGATGTGATCATAAGAATGTCAATAGTAGGTTCCTTAAATCTTTTCTTTATTTTATTCGTGATTTTTTATTTAAATTTTAGTTAGAAATCAAATAAGAATAAAAATTTATGGGTTATCGGTAAATTGATTCCTAATATAGAGCAATTTTATTTTTTTGGAAAGAAAAGAAAATTAGAATCTATTGAAAATGACAATGAAAATACACCTAAGAAAGAAAAAAAAGGAAAAGTTTAGAAGTAAGAATGGATTGAAAATTGTCCAATAATATACGTGAAAGATTTAGGAGTAAGAATGATTAAAAATCAGTCAAGAATATATCCAAACAAAAATTAAAAAAATAAAGCAAAGTACATGCCACAAAAAGAAAATGAAAGATCTGAGAAGGCAAGGAACAAGAATATATCCAAACAAAAATTAAAAGATAAAGCAGAGTACATACCACAAAAAGAAAAGGAAAGATCAAAGTGAGAAGGCAAGGAAGTACACAATACTGAGTACATGCAGTGAAAGATCAATGAGAAGGATACCGAGTACATGCAGACAAAAAAATGAAAGATCAATGAGAAGGTAAGTACAAAATACGGTCACTTAAAATAACTCCATCAAATTCTTCCCTAACATAGTAATGATAGGAAATGAGATCTTAATGAAAATAGAATTATATATCTATCTATATATATATATATAACGTTCCAGGACTTTACTCGTGAAAAGTCTTTAATGCTCGTATGAGGTCTAGTACATCGACCATTGTGAGATTTAGAGAATTGAACGTGAAATTGATGTCATGGATTCATATAGGTTGACTTGGATACAATGGACAAAATCAAACTTTCATTAATGATAAATTGGTGACACCAGCCTAAACTAACTAATCACGTAAGTGGTCTTACTATAGGAGAGGCGAAAAATTGTATGAGTTATGATGATGTATGAGTTGTATCACATGATGTTCTATACTAGTATATGATGATGTATGAGCCATGATGATGTATGAGTTATGATGATGTATGAGCGGTGTCGTATGATGCCATATACTAGTATATGATGATGTTTGAGTTATGTGGTATGATGATGTGCGTAATATTTGTATATTTCGATATACTTGATATGATGAACTTTATGGCGATATTATGAGTATGATGATTGCATGATGTTTTTCTTAATATGGCTATGTTTTCTAGATTGTATGATGATGAGTGCCATAATTGTCGTTCATAAGCATATGGATACTTCTCCTAAAGATGATGAGTGCAGACGCGCACAGTATGATGATGAGTGTGGATGCGCATAGTATGACGAGCAGGGTGTTCATGAGGTGCATGACACTATGGGGTTCCGTTGACCTCCGAACGTCGCTAGAAATTAGCTTGACTAGAGGGCCTAGGGGGTGTGCGAGCGAGCTGGAGATTCACACTTGCACGTGTGGGTCGTGTGTAGGGAAGTACTACACATTCAATTTGTTCAAGACTAGAGGCCACCCCTAGATGAGCTAGAGATAGGTCCCTAAATTATGATTGCTTGTGTCACATCATTTTTCAGGTAACGGCAAGGTGCACTTGTACGGACAACGACAAGATTGCGAGTAGAGACTGTGGCACGTGCATAGGCAGACTCATTTAAATTTCTAGTCTAAGGTTATAATAGGTTGTTTTGCATTTCATTGTTTTAAATTATTTTGTATTTATTTTTATTTTATTTAAATGTCGTATTTAAACACCTAAAACTTTGTTTTCGAGAGAAGAGTTTGTTTTAAATATTTTCGACATTTATATAAAAGATGATGTTTTCTTTTAAGAGTTATATTTTTGCATTAGAGTTGAGTATGAAACGTTAGTAACGACTTTGAGTAGGTAGAAATTTAGAGTCGTTAGATTTTCATAGTCGGGAAAACTTGTAACTATACTAATATAATATAGTATGATACATATTTTATTATTATTAATCTATAAATAGTTTGATTGTGACATCTATTCTTATTGAATGAAAATATGATATTGATTATTTGATGTATTTTTTTTAAAAAAAAACATTATTTATTTTAAATGGTTAACCAATTAAATTATATTTAGGTTGATATAATAGTAAATCTGAAATATCTCTAAATAAAAATTAGTGAGATAATCAAATGACACTGAAAAAGTAAATATGTCATTTCTTTCTCACTAATATATATATATAATACATATGTTATTTCTTTCTTTTATATATAATTAAACATATTTTCTTACATTTGAAAAAGTAAATATGTCATTTTTTTTCTATGAAAAACAACTACATCAAGAAGCTGGTGACTGTGTGATTGTGGTTAGTTTAACTAATTTACCATATTTGTGGTTAGTTTCTATTTATTTATGTTGTTATTGTAAGGCTATAAAAGCCAAAGTTAAGTACTCAATAATATTATCGCTTCAAACTCCAATCGTTTTTGTTTCTGTGTTAATCATTCTTCTGTCAAAAACTTATAATTGGTATCAGAGCCACCACTAGGCTTTGTAGTGTAGCAATTTTTTAGTGATCAAATACAGAGAGTATGAGTAAAGACAAGACTTTAACGAAGATCCCTCACTTCGATGGTCACTATAATCACTAGAGTGAGCTGATGGAAAATTTTCTCAAAGAAAAGAGTTTATGGAGTGTGGTAGAGATTGGTTTCACAGAACTAGCGGAAAAAACAATGCTGACTAAGGCACTAAAGGATCACCTTGATGATGCTAGACTAAAAGATTGTTTGGGACTCAATGAAGCGAAAGTTTGGTGGAAACCAAAAAGTGAAGAAATCTCTTATAAATGCATTAAGGAGAGAATTTGAGATCCAAGAGATCGAAGAAGGATGAAAGTATCATATTATTTTGCAAGAGTTATGATAATCTCCAACAAGATGAGAAGATATGCCAAACAAGAAAACTGTAGAAAAAAATTTTATGTACTCACTGAAAAATTTACTTATGTTGTAATATCCATTGAGGAATCCAAAGATACTGATAACATGTCCATTGATGAATTACAAAGTTCATTAGTGGTGCATGAACAAAAATTTTGAAGATCAAGTAGTACTGGAGAGGAGCAAGTTCTAAAAGTCGAAGGTCGAACGGAAATAAGTAATAGAGGAAGAGGAGCTTACAAGAGTAGAGGACGTGTTAGAGAAAAATCAACTTTCAACAAAGCAACTGTTGAATGTTATAGGTGTCATGACTTAGGTCATAAATATGAATGTCCAAAAATGAATAAGGAATTGAATTATGCAAAGCTGGAAGAAGAGGATGAAATGTTGTTAATGGCTGATATGGAAAGACATGAAGCAAGAAGGAATTATACTTGGTTCTTAGATTTTGGTTGCTTAAACCATATGTGTATACGAATGTATATTTTCAAGCTTAGATAGGATCTTTTCCCACTCCATCAGAGGCTTGAAAATAATATAAGTATGAAAGGTTCTCGAAAGGGTGTAGTGAAATTAACTTTGTATGGGGTTCGCTACACTATTAGTAATGTGTATTGGGTACCTGAACTAAAAAATAATCGCTTGAGCATTGGACAAATACAAGAAAAAGGAGTAATAGTGCTCTTCAAAGATAGTGTACGTAGCATTTATCATCCACAAAAAGAAAAAAAGGCAGAGACAATTATGAGTGCAAATTAGTTGTTCATTTTGTTTGTTAAACCATACGCCACAACAAATGAAGGAAGATGCCTCCAAGTTTCAAATATGGATCAGTTAACACTTTGCCACCATCATTATGGTCATCTCGGCTACAAAGGCTGTTGCACCAATCTTGAAACAAAAAAACATGGTGAAAGGTCTGGCACAAATTGTAGTTCCAAACACCCCCTATGAGGCATGTATGAAAGGAAAGCACATCAAACTCTATTTTCAAAAATGAGTAAATGGAGAGAAGTGAAAAATTTGGTCTTGTAAATGCAGATCTATGTGGTCGAATTTCACTTGCTTCAAATAGCCATAAAAAGTATTTGTTGTGCGATGATTTTTCAAGGAAGACATGAAGTTATTTTCTTTTGTAGAAAAATCAGAAACATTTTATCATTCCAAATGTTTCAAAATAATTGTGGAAAAGGAAATTAGAATGCCTATAATGTTTAAGGACAGATAGAGGAGGAGAGTTCAACTCAACAAAATTCAACGAGTTTTGCAAACAGCATAGAGTGAAGACACAATTGACCACAACCTATAGCTCACAATAAAATAGAGTGGCCGAATGCCAAAATTGCACCGTGATGAACTTGGTAAGAGTTATGCTGACAGAGAAGAAAGTGCTTAAGAATTTCTAGCCTTAAGCAGTCATGTGGACATTTCTAGGCTAAAGCAGTCAGGTGGACGATTCACATTTTGAATTTATCACCCACTCTTGCAGTAAAAGAGATGACACCAGAAGAGGCTTGGACTAGGGAGAAACCATCAGTAGATTATTTCAGAGTTTTTGAATGTGCGAAACATGTTCATATTCCTGATGCTAAGAGAAGCAAACTTGAAGATAAAGGTGTAATATGTGTTTTACTTGGAGTCAGCAGTGAATCCAAAGGCAATAGAATGTTTGATCCAACTACAAATAAAATTATAGTAAGTTGTAATGTAGCTTTCGAGGAAGATCGTGAATGGGATTGGAAATTTTTTTAAGGTGAAACAAAATTGGACTGAGGGACAATATTGAAATTGATGAGAATACAGTCGAAGAAGAAGAAGTCATGGTGGAAACGACTAAACTGGTTGCTGAAACGATTGAACTAGTTGCTGAAAACAAAGAAGGGGAAATCACGGAAGAAAAGACTGAACCGGTTGATGACTTTAGATCCTGTGAATTTTGAGGAAGCTGTCAGTAGCCCAAAATGGAGATTGGCTATGGATGAAGAAATCAAATCCATTGAAAAAAACTCAAACATGGAACTTGGTGGTTCTGTCGGCTGGAGCAAAGAAAATAGGAGTGAAATGGATTTACAAAACCAAGCTAAATGAGTTTGGAGAAGTTGATAAATACAAAGCAAGATTGGTTGTAAAAGGCTACATACAAGAGCATGAAATTTATTATACAAAAGTGTATGCATCTGTGGCCAGAATGGATACTGTGAGAATTGTCATTGCTTTTGCCACAAAGAAAGGTTGGAAACTCTATTAGTTAGATGTCAAATCAGCTTTTCTACATGGTGAGTTAAAAGAAGATATTTTTGTTGAACAGCCAAAATATTAGGAGAAAAAGGGAAGTGAGGAGAGGGCATACAAATTCCATAAGGCTCTCGATGGATTAAAACAAGCACCTAGAACCTAGTTTAGTTGAATAGAATCCTTCTACATCAAGGAAGGATTCGAAAGTAGCTCCAATGAGCATACACTCTACATCACAAGGAAAGGAGGACAGAAAATTGGCAAAGATGAAAATGGTGCAAAAGTAAATTTAACTTTGTATAAACAAATAGTTGGAAGTCTGATGTATCTCACAACTACTCGTCCTGATCTCATTTTTGTTGTAAGTTTGATTAGTCGTCTTATTGCATGTCTAACAAAACATGTTGCAGCAACTAAAAGGGTTTTAAGGTACTTGAAAGGTACGATAGATTATGTGTTTATGTTAAGCGGAGGAGCAGTAGCTTGGTCTTCTCGTAAACAACCTATAGTCACCTTATCAACCACAGAAGCTGAGTTTGTTGCTACTAATGCCTGTGCATGTCAAGCTGTTTGGATGAGGATACTCAAAGAGATGGGTCACTATCAAATTGAAGGAACAAAGCTAATGTGTGATGATACTTCAATTATTAAGATATCCAAAAATCCAGTTCTACATGGACGTTCCAAATAGATAAGAGTAAGATTTCACTTTCTTAGAGATCTTTCAAAAGAAGGAACCGTTAATTTATTATTTTGTGTACCCGAAATCAACTTGCTAATTTGTTAACAAAGCATCTCAAATTAGAAGTATTTCAGAAGTTGTGTGAAGAACTTGGTGTGCATAGTTTTTCTAGAACAATTTGATTATGTCAAATACGGTTATCGTCTCTCTTCGGTTAGTTTCTATTTCTGTTATTATTTGTAAAAGCTAAGTTTAGTACTCAAAATCCAATTTCAGTACTCAATAATATTATCAGTTGAAACTCCAATTGTTTATGTTTCGGCTTAATCATTCTTCTGTTACACTAAATCCTCATAATCACCCTAGATAAAGTTTTGTAAATTCACTAACACAACTATTCTTGCTAGATTAATCAATAACAGAGATTACATTCATTATTTCATTCGTATGTTATCGTACAATCAACTTTATATGTATAAAAATAAGGACGAGAAGAATTAGTAGGTCACTTGGACGGAACAAGAGGATGAAGATGAATGAATCAGTAGTAATCTCATTTTTCTTTATTGTCGTCTAAGTCATCATAGGGAGTAAGCACGAATCACTTCTAGAATGGGCACACAACACATCAGATACTTTTCTCAAGCCTTGACCAACTCGTTAGCACATTTTGAACAAGTGCACATATGCCCACATCTAAAAGTTGTAAATGAGAGAAAATGTAAAGTTAAGTGAAAGTTGAGACCAAAGAAAAACACACAAAAACAGATTGATTGGTAAAATTATCTGTACAACAAAGCACGTAAATTTTATAAGCTAAAGAATCTAGTGGCATTAATAATGAAAACAAACCTTTTGAACTAGCTCTCGGCTCAACATAGAAGAAACTTCTTTCTTTATTGAGCGCTGCAACTCGAGTTGCATATCCATGCATGTCTCCAACATTCTCTGTACGTTGTTCATCCTCTGTTGCAGCCTCGACATGTCAATCCTCAAATCATTGATGATCTCCCAATCTTGTAATATTTTAGCAACAAGTTTAAGTTAAAAAAAAAAAAAAAGATAATCACAATAATTTCACCAGAAAGAAAATTGCATTAATTCAAAATATAATTATGGAATCACCATTCATCAATGGTTTACCGTTTACATTTGGATGTTTTACTATTTTTTTTATTTTATTTTATTTACTTTGCATCCTAATGGCTTCAACTAGAAAGACAACAAGGGAACCTTAATGAGTCATACAACTCCAAATTGCTGACGGAAATCATGTCGTGGCCAACTCCCATTGCTCAACTCATGATCCCAAAGTTGTCGAGAGGGCAATGTAGGTGGCAGTGGAAAAACAATCGAATGGCTCTCAATAGAACCCGCTTGACCTTCACTCTGCCTATTGTGTTCATGTTCTTGTTCTGGTTCTGCAGATGTGTAAGGGGGAGTCACAACCTAACTATGAAGAGAGTAGGTTGTGACCATCACATTGCAACAAGAGAAGCGGTGACCCTCAAGTGGTCCCCATCCGTCCATACGAGGGCCTAGACGAGTGCCACGATGCGACCGAGGAGGATGGTACATCATCTAACTCACCACACAGAGTGGGCATTGAAGAAAAGTTGAGATATAAGCAAGATAGAGACATCGAATTGACAATAGTGGAAAAGATAGGCTTGTTGAAGGGTCGGGTAGGGTCCCAAGCCTAAACCTCGAAAGTCAAGGCTCCAATAGGAATTTGGACATGCGGTTCTGGAGTTAATTCTGTCCATATGAAATGTGAATGTTCGCGAAATTTGATGTCAATCGGACAACGGACGGACGCTCAATGACATCGGATGACCGTTCGCCAAACTCATGTCTATGATGAAAAATAGAAAATGGCTCAAAATATACTATAGGGGTACCATGGTGTCAACTCTCCAACATCCCTGGGCCCTGTGGCCTATGCGAGCTACCCTGTAGCACATACGTGTGTCACAGTGTGGGTGAGCGTGCCAAGACGAGTGTCGAAGGTTGCTATATAGACCCGCTATCTGATACGGTATGCGTAAATGACATGGAACTGGCATGGGAGGGCCAATGCCTCGATAGAACTCGGATGGATGGATGTTTGGGACATTCCAATGAGATGAGCGACATGTGGGTCCATTCTTAATAACAAGAGCGAAGGAGTTGTGATGGCCAATGGCACCCCAAGACTCAAGATGGCGTCAAGACATATGGGCCATGTTGATGGGGATCGCAATAAAAATATGAGACGTGACGTTGCATTGAAAGAACTTGTCCCCAAGCAGAGACAAGGTCGAGCCGAATGACTTGGCCTAGTGTAGAGGCAAGTCGATTGTGTCGCAGACAATTGTGATAGTGTTAATATAACACATGCAGAAGCAATTTGGATCTTAGGCACTCTAAGTACATCAATGAGTTTGAATATAAACCTTTTGTTGTTCAAGTTTCTTTTTCCTCACGAACCGGTGTTATGAATCAAAAGACATCAATCATACAATATGCTTCAATGAAGATGTGAAGAAAATATTGTTGAAATTATCAAAAGATATTTCAATTCATGCCACATTGAAGAAGAGTGCGGTTTCATGTTTTGAATTTTGGGTGGGTTACAATTTAGAGTAATTTAGAGCTATTGTATTTCATTAATTTATTTTAATACTTTTGATTTACTTTAGGTTACAATTATATAATGGTTAATTAAGGCCATTAAGTATGAATGTTACAATTCATGGAATGCGTTAGTAGCTTCATTTTGAAGCTATATAAAGCCATATATGTTGTATTTGCAAGTAGACTTGGAAAATGTAGTAAAAGGAGCATTTGTGCTTTCTTTAGCCCATGGCTAAGTTTCTTTGCAATTCTATGTAGTTTAGGTTGCATGTAGAATCATTCAAGCTCGACATGATCAATCTTGTTTGTGGAGTGATTCGAATCTCAAACAAGTGTTCTTGCCTTGAGATATTTGATCAACAAGAATCATTCAAGCTAGACGTAATCGATCTTTTGATTGTGGAGTGATTCGAATCTCAAACAATGTTCTTGCCTTGAGATTTTCGATCAACAAGGTAATCTGAATCTTATTCCCCTTGTATTGATTCCTTATCTTATCAACCGGTTTCGAACCACCACTAGTGTCTTCTCCACTATTCTCTGGCCTTAGAATGGGATTGTGGAATTCGGTGAGTGATTAAACTTGGGAGGGATTTAGTATATATGAAGAGAGAGTTTGTGAGAGGTTTTTCTCAAGGTTTTTTTCAAAAGCCAACCTTTCATACCATGATCACTCTATTTATAGAGTCATGTTTGCATGTTCATGCAAATTTGAGATCACCAAATTTTGACACTTAAAATTCCACCCAAATGTTTGGGATTATGTGGCAAGCATGCATGCTTGAGTTAACCAAATTTTGACACTTTGACTTTCTTCATTTTGATTCAACAATCAATTTGAATTATTAATTTAAAATTAAAGTAATATTAAATGATTAATTAAACTATTTAATTAATATTTAATATTAATTCAAATGTCAATCCCAATTAATTCCGACACATATTTGATTAAGATATTTAAATCTTATTTAAATATCTAAAATTCTCTCTTTTTGTTTAATTCGTAAATATAACAAAAATGCGGTTAAATATATCGTATATATGTAGCGCATTCTCCCTAATTTGAATTCGAACACTTCGAACTCACTCGTCACACTGTTCTATGGTTTAGTCCATTATGAGCTAGCAGAGGGACCTAATGGACCTATAGATCATAGGCTCCAACGATCCAAGATTAACCGGTTAAACTCATTAACCTTGTTAACCAGCATTCGTTAACTTCTAGAACATTCCACTATAGCCTAGTAGTTGTACTCCCCTCACTATAGATATATTTCTGTCCATTTGATATAACCATGATTAGTAAGTCGATCCTTCACAGGTTGTTCGTAACTAAAGCTGGGTCAATTTACCGTTTTACCCCTGAAGTTACTTCTTATTCCTTATGTCTCACTGATCCTCTAATAAACAATTGGTTTGTGGTCCAACCAGTAAACCGAATCTCTCTCAAGCCAATGAGAGGTTAGATTCACTTGTTCAAGACCTAGAGTCAGTACTAAAGGGAACTACCTCTCTTCTATCCCTAAAAGTGGGTAGGAGTGAATTCCATCTTACACCCCACGTCCTCAGCCATTTACTCAGTCTTACCCCTGAAATGGTAGGTCTATTGAGTCGGCGAACTTGAGCCACTCTCACCCATGCAAATCTAAGGATAATTCCGAATAAACAGGATGGTTAGCTCAGGATTAGGATCGAGTTACCTAGGTCATCAATTATTAATTTCAAATTAAAGTAATATTAAATGATTAATTAAATTATTTAATTAATATTTAATATTAATTTAAATGCCAATCCAAATTAATTCCGACACATATTTTATTAAGATATTTAAATCTTATTTAAATATCTTAATCTTATTTAAATATCTCAGATTCTCTCTTTTTGTTTAATTCGTAAATATAACAAAAATGCGGTTGAATATATCGTATATATGTAGCGCATTCTCCCTAATTTAAATTCGAACACTTCGAACTCACTCGTCACACTGTTCTATGGTTTAGTTCGTTATGAGCTAGCTGAGGGACCTAATTGACATATAGATCATAGGCTCCAACGATCCAAGATTAACCGATTAAACTCATTAACCTTGTTAACCAACATTCGTTAACTACTAGGACATTCCACTATAGCCTAGTAGTTGCACTCCCCTCACTATAGATATATTTCTATCCATTTGATATAACCATGATTAGTAAGTCAATCCTTCATAGGTTGTTCGTAACTAGAGTGGGGCCCCTTGTTCAAGACCTGGAGTTAGTACTTAAGGGAACTATCTCTCTTTTCTCCCTAAAAGTGGGTAGGAGTGAATTCCATTTTGCATCCCACGTCCCCAACCATCTACCCAGTCTTACCCCTGAAATGGGAGGCCTATTGAGTCGGCGAACTTGAGCCACTCTCACCCATGCAAATCTAAGAATAATTTCAAATAAATAGGAGTTCATGGTTAGCTCAGGATTAAGATCGAGTTACCTAGGTCATCAAATGAAATCAAAAGAAAATCAGTCTCGACAGTAAACGACATTATAAAGTAAGAGTGATTTTCTTCATTGTCCGATCTTATACAATACTCATTGCATAGGACGCCCCAGTCACATGTCTTCACATGTACAATTTAGTGATCACATTGTTTATATCATATACAAAAGTGGACTGCATCCATAGTGTCCCTAGAATAAGGTACTCAGCCTTATCCTTATACAATAGATCATTTTGACTATACACTTGAACTTGATCAACTCTTATGTCTCTACATATAATTCAAGTAATCATACTATAGCCCAGAGTGTTCTTAGTTTATTGGATCTTTACTCAATAAACAACAATAATAACTTTATTGAAAATAAAATATGTTTTTGTTTACAAACTATGAGTTTTAGGACATAAAACCCAACAAATTGAACATGCACACGCAGGCAGCATGTGTGGTCGAACAAGCTTGTATTCCGCACAAGCGATGTTTGATTGGTGAAGACAAACCTCGCTTAAGGTTCGATGAAGCCACAAAGCTGGGGTGAAAAACATATATGGGGCTTAATTCCCCTTAAGGGTAGCCGTGAGCGTGTTAAGATCACCACACTGCGCTGTTGAAAAAGTAGTACTGTGACAGTTGGTATTAGAGTCATACTTTGTGTGTCTAGTGGGACAACATAGTCAAGAGAAATGAACTCGAGAGTTGTTGAAGACCTTACAAGTGTGTCAAGAGTGCCAGAGTGGGCAGGACAATTTCTAGTAAGAATTGGAATCAGTTGTGGCTTGAAACCAAGACTACCTGAAGTTCATTAGTGTTGTGTGTTGGCACTTCAGTGTGGGGAGATTTACCCGTCAAGTAAAACCAAGCTCATTTGCCAAGCGCTTGTAGTCCTTAAGTGGGCAAGACAGATGAAACAAAAATTAAACCATGTCGGTGCTTTCCAAAGAGCCATTCACATTAGAGGAACAGTGTTAGTGGCTGCAAGCAGAGAAGCTAAGAGCCAAGAAAAGACAAGCATCGGCCAAGTGCCAAAGTTGAGTACAACGCAAGTCCTTATGGGAGGATGAATTTGCTGCAAAGAGGCAATCGAGTTTAAGTGGGGGGGAGCCTAAGTAATTAGGTATCTCACCCCGTAGTGGTGCTCTAAGGTGCGAGTACACGTGCACTCCTTGAGCCATCACCTTATGCCTAAAATGGATGACTCCACAAGAGTTGTCGAGACCAATATCAACTCGAGAAGTGAGCATCAACTTGAAGTGGACATAAAGAAGTGAAGCTACAACATGACCACAGAAGCGTCAAGGCAGCATTGCCACACGAAGGTGGCCAGTTAAGAGTTGGCGAAAGTGTAGTGCCAACACGGAGTTGTGTTACGAATTTTAAAAGAATTGGCAAGAGTGTAAAGCAAACACAGAGTTGTGTTGCGAGTTTTGCAGACATCCAGTTAAGAGTTGGTTGAAGTGAACCGCCAATACGGGGTTGTGTTACAAGCTTTCATACATCGCTACTATAATGATTGGTGCCATGATGAATAAATGTCGTGGTTGGCTTGCGAGCCTCACCTCGAGGGGTGCACCAATGTGTGCGACTCAGAGAATACGATGAATGTGGCCAAAGTGGCAAAAATTTGGGGAGCTCTCCCCCTAGCCAAGGAAAGAGTATGCCAAACCTAGTTAGTTTGCCATTATTTTTCTAGTGAATCCTGGGTCAAGTTTGCAAAAGGGCGAGGGAGGCCCAAAAGGGGATAGCCCACAACCATAGTGCATTTGTTTTACGGTACTTGTGTTGCAAGTCTCGGAGGCCGAGAGTAAGTTCGTCAGTGGGATAGCTCATAAGTAGTGCGCATTTTCTGTATTCGTTCTGAAGCACGTATTTCAAGTGGGTTCGTCAGCAACTAGTCTAGGGTTGGGTCGTCATTGAGGACGATGACTAGTTTAAGTGGGGGAGAATGTCATAACCTAACAATGGTTCTTCCACCAAGTAAGTCATCGTGAACGATGACTAGTTTAAGTGGGGGAGAATGTCACAACCTAACTATGTAGAGAGTAGGTTGTGACCCTCACGTTGCGTCATGATAAAGGCCACCCTCAAGTGGCGCCCATCCGACCACACGAGGGTCTAGACGAGTGCCATCATGCGACCGAGGAGGACGGTGCATCATCTAATATACCACATAGATTGATCATTGAAGACAAGTTGAGACATTAGCAAGATAGAGACATCAAATAAACAAGAGTGGCAAAGATATGCTTGTTGAAGGGCCGGGTAGGGTCCCAAGCCTTAACCTCGAAAGTTGGCGTTCTAAAAGGGATTTGGGCATGCGATTCTAGAGTTAATTCCGTCCATATAAAATATGAATGCTTGCGATATTTTGTGTCAACCGGACACTGGACGGACGCTCCATAACATTGTATGACCGTTCGACAAAATCATGTCTATGCCTAAAAGATTGAAAATGGCTCAAAATGTACTATAGGGGTACCATGGTGTCAGCTCTCTACCATCCCTAGGACCTGTTGCCTAAGTAAGCTACCCGATGACACACACGTGCGCCACAACATGGGCAAGCGTGTCGAGACGAGTGTTTAGGGCGACTTCCTTTAAAATGAGTTTTTCAAGGACAGTATCGGGCAACACTAGTGTACGGTATCGAAGGCTGCTATATACACCCGCTATCTAGTACGGTATACATAAATGACATGGCACATACACGGTTGGGTCAATGCCTCGATAGAACCCAGATGGATAGATGTTTGGGACCTCCTAGTGAGATGAGCGACACGTAGGCTCGTTTTCGATGGCATGAGCCAGTGAGGTTTGATGGTCGACGACACCACAAGACTCGGGATGGTGTCAAGACATATGGGCCATGCCGATGGGTATCAAGATAAGAAGATTAGACGCGATGTTGCATTGAGAGACCTTGGCCCCAAGCAGAGGCAAGGTTGAGCCGGATGGTGTAGAGGCAAGTCGGTTGTGTTGCAGATGATTGAATATGCACATGCAGGTGGCTTGTGTGGTTGTACAAGCTTGGATGCTGCACAAGGGATGTTCGGTTGACGAAGACAAACCTCGCCTAAGGTCCGATGAAGCCACAAGAAAATATATATGGGGATTAATTCCCCTTAAGGTTGGTCGTGAGCGTGTCAAGATCACGACGCCGCGCAGTTGAAAAAGTAGGAACGGGGGACATCATCTCATCTATATCCTTGTTACTGATACCATGACCTTGCCTCTCTATGTAAGCATGTATTAACGGGTCAAATGTAAAACTGACCATTTCAATTGAAAATTTAGCAAACTATCATACATAGAAACATATGGAGCGTGATGTAATATGGATTAAATAGTCTTCTATGAACGGGTTCAACTTTATAACGGAGAAAATCAAAATGTTATTCTATTTAATAGGAAAGAAATTGGATGGCATCGTAAAGAAAGTCTGTATGAGCTCATAATGTCAATGTATGACAAAGAATCGTAAGAGAGAAACTAACTTTGATTTATCTTCCTACATGAATATGCTGCCAATGTAAGACAATTAGATATCAAGAAGCAACCAATTGAAGGTAGTTTGATCCCTACCCTTACAATTTTTAAACAGAAATAATATTGAAAACAAAAATCTTGTATTTTCCTAAGAAACTAACAGAAACTAGAAGTGAAACTAACCTTAGAGAAGTTGAACCTTTTCCTTTGGAATACATTTGTACTTGGAATTTGATAGCACAAAAAAAGAACACCGTAGCATCACTCCTTTTTGCTTCATGTCTTTCCATATGAGTCATTAACAACACTTCATCCTCTTCTTCCAGCTCTACATAATTCAATTTCTTATTCATCTTTGGACATTCATATTGAAAATGACCTAAGTCATGACACCTATAACATTCAACAGTTGCTTTTTTGTTCATGCACCACTAATGAACTTTGTAATTCATTAATGGACATGTTATCAGTATCTTTAGATTCCTCAATGGATACTATAACATAAGTAAATTTTTCAGTCAAGTACACATAATTTTTTTTACAATTTTCTTGTCTGGCATATCTTCTCTATTTCTCATCTTGTTGGAGATTATCATCACTCTTTCAAAATAATCTGTGATACTTTCATACTTACCTTGTTGGAGATTATCATCATTCTCGCAAAATAATATGTGATACTTTCATACTTCTTCATCCCTAGGATCTCAAATTCTCTCCTTAATGTATCAAGAAGAGATTTCTTCACTTTTTGGTTTCCACCAAATTTTCGTTTCATTGAGTCTCATTGAGTCCCAAACAATCTTGGTTGTGCCACGATCCAAGATTTGTTCAAAGACGGTATGATTAATTGCTTGGAATAGTTAAGGCTTTACTTGGTGATCTTTGTGTCTAGCATCATCAAGGTGGCCCTTTTGTGCCTCAGTCAATATTGTTCTTTCCTCTCGTTCTAATAAACGAATCTCCACCACACTCCATGGACAATTTTTTCTGAGCAAACTTTTCATAAGCTCACTCCAATCATCATAGTGAGCATCGAAGTGAGGGATCTTCGCTAAAGTTTTGTCTTCACTCATACTCTCTCTATTTTGATCACTAAAAAATGGATGCTCTGATACTAATTGTTAGTTTTTGACAGAAGAATAACTAAGCCAGAAACATCTTTGCTAAAGTTTTGTCTTCACTCATGCTCTCTTTATTTGATCACTCAAAAATTGATGCTCTGATCCTAATTGTTAGATTTTGACCGAAGAAACATAATCAATTGAAGTTTGAAGTGATGGTGTTATTGAATGCTGAACTTTTCTTTGTTATACAAGTAACCATAAATAGAAATTAAGTAAACATAACTTGAAAAATACTTAAACTAAATCCCTAAAAATAATATAAGTAGAAGAGGCTTGGACGTGGAAGAAACCATCAGTAAATTATTTCAGAGTTTTTGGATGCGCGAAACATGTTCATATTCCAGATGCCAAGAGAAGCAAACTTGAAGATAAAAGTGTATTATGTGTTTTACTTGAAGTCAGCACCGAATCCAAAGGCTATAGAATGTTTGATCTAACTACAAATAAAATTATAGTAAGTTGTAATGTAGCTTTCGAGGAAGATCGTGAATGGGATTGGAAATTTTTTTAAGGTGAAACAAAATTGGACTGGGGGACAATATTGAAATTGATGAGAATACAGTCGAAGAAGGAGAAGTCATGGTGGAAACGACTAAAGTGGTTGCTGAAACAATTGAACCAATTGCTGAAAACAAAGAAGGGGAAATCACGAAAGAAACGACTGAACCGGTTCATGATTTTAGATCCTGTGAATTTTGAGGAAGCTTTCAAAAGCCCGAAATAGAGATTGGCTATGGATGAAGAAATCAAATCAATTGAAAAAAATCAAACATGGAACTTGGTGGTTCTGCCGGCTAGAGCAAAGAAAATAGGAGTGAAATGGATTTACATGACCAAGCTAAATGAGTTTGGAAAAGTTGATAAATACAAAGCAAGATTAGTTGTAAAAGGCTACATACAAAAGCATGAAATTGATTATACAGAAGTGTATGCATTTGTGGCCAAAATGAATACTATGAGAATTGTCATTGCTTTTACCACCAAGAAAGGTTGGAAACTCTATTAGTTAAATGTCAAATCAGCTTTTCTTTATGGCGAGTTAAAAGAAGATATTTTTGTTAAACAACCAAAAGACTAGGAGAAAAAGAGAAGTGAGGAGAGGGCGTACGAATTCCATAAGGCTCTCAATGGATTAAAACAAGCGCCTATAACCTAGTTTAGTTGAATAGAATCCTACTGCATCAAGGAAGGATTCGAAAGCAGCTCCAGTGAGCAGACACTTTACATCAAGAGGAAGGGAGGACAGAAAATTGGCAAAGATGAAAATGGTGCAAAAGTAGATGTAACTTTGTATAAACAAATAGTGAGAAGTCTGATGTATGTCACAGCTACTCGTCCTGATCTCATGTTGTTGTAAGTTTGATTAGTCGTCTTATTGCATGTCCAACAAAACAACATGGTGCAGCAGCTAAAAGGGTTTTAAGATACTTGAAAGGTACGATAGATTATGGTGTATTTTATAGAAAGGGAGGAATTAGTGATTTAATTGGATTTATAGATAGTGACTATGCCGGAGACTTGGAAGATATTAAGAGTACTTTAGGCTATGTGTTTATGATAAGCGGAGGAGTAGTAGCTTGGTCTTTTCGTAAACAGCCTATAGTCACATTATCAACCACAGAAGCTGAGTTTGTTGCTACTAGTGCCTATGCACGTCAAGTTGTTTGGATGAGGATACTTAAAGAGATTGGTCACTATGAAATTGAAGGAACAAAACTAATGTGTGATAATACATCAATTATAAAGATATCCAAAAATCCAGTTCTTCATGGACGTTCCAAATAGATAAGAGTAAGATTTCACTTTCTTAGAGACCTTTCAAAAGAAGGAACCGTTAATTTATTATTTCGTGTTACCTGAAATCAACTTGTTGATTTGTTAACAAAACATCTCAAATTAGAAGTATTTCAGAAGTTGTCAAATATGGATATCCTCTCTTTTGATAGTTAGAGTATGTTTAGCTATTTAGTTTAACTAATTTGTCATATTTGAGTTAGTTTCTATTTCTGTTGTTATTTGTAAAAGCTAAGTTCAACACTCAAAAGCGAAGTTCAGTACTCAATAATATTATCAGTTGAAACTCCAATTGTTTATGTTTCAGTTTAATCATTCTTTTGTTTACACTAAATCCTTATAATCACCCTAGATAAAGTTTTGTGAATCCACTCAACACAATTATTCTGGCTAGATTAATCAATAACAGAGATTACATTCATTATTTCATTCGTCTGTCATCGTACAAATAAGCTTTATATGTATAGAAATC